TAGGGTTTATAGGGTTTAGGGTTCCCTAACCCATCTAGACACCAACCCGTGTGCCTCGCCCTCAAGCATCACCCGTAGCTTCGGAAGCTGCAGCCACGGCTCGCAATGCAGGCGTTCTTGCCACAGCTCGAGACCGGGCTAACGGCCGTCTCCCAGACGGTGAAGCAAAGCATAAATGTGCCACACGCTTCCTAGGCTCAGGGCTTAGAGTTCAGGCCATTGTCTGGACCCGAAAGAACCGTTTAGGTTCAGGGTTTAGGATTAATTTTAAGGGCTTGTATAAGGAAATAAGCAGCGCTCACAAGGTAGGTGCTTTACGGTACAGATTAGGGTTCGATTGTGTTTAAGGCTTCTTCAGGGTTACTCTGTCGCCGTGGACTACCTATAGTCTCCATTGCAGTTCCTTTTTTGGTTTAACCTACTCTGTATTAAGGGTCCTATCAGGTAACCCCAAAGAGGAACTACAATGGAGACTATAGGTAGATCTGCTCCACGGGCTCCATATACTCTCCCAAATATTAACTTAGATAACTACTATCCGCAACCAAAGTACCCTATTATTGGGTCCTTTGGACCCTGAGGGTAAAATCAGAAACCAAGAGATGTGCATTGAAGAAGTCTCAGGCCCTACGTCCTCAGCACACCAGGGGCTCAGAGACTGTGGCTGGGAACTGGTGCAGGACACCACCCTATAACACCTACCTTCTTCGGGCTCCTTCTTATGACTTCTTTACAAAAGTCCTAAACAAAAAAGAAGGGAGGTTCTGGTTGGTTAAGGTTTACCTGTGGCACCAGAAGACCTACCTTCTTAAGGAACTAAATATAGACACCATACTACGGTTGATGATATGAATCCTGCATTACCTTAAGGACCCGAATTTACTAAACTATGAGAATTATGGTATATTCCTTACTAGGGTAATGCGATTCAAATCATCAACCCTAAATCCAAACCCCTACACCCAAAACCCCTAAACCCTGAAACCCTAAAACCCTAAACCCTATTCCAGAAATGCCCTGAAAAGGAATGCTCTTTTCGGCTGCAGGTACTTGGAGGATCATGGGACTTAGTAAGTAAGGTTATAAGTATCGTAATTGAGGTTATAAGTACTTAGTTACCTTATTTTTAACCCTAGTTCCTAATTCCCATGATCCTTTAAGTAGGCCTAAAACCCTAAACCCTAAAACCCTAAAACCCTCAACCTAAAATTAAAACCCGAAGCCATAAAGCCCTGAACCGTGATTCAGGCTTGGGTTCAGGGTTTGGGGTTCAGTCTCCATTGCAGTTCCTGCTTTTCTAGGCAAGAGGGTCCTAGATCCCAGGTACCGTTATGGGGGATAGTTTCCCAAATCATAACAGTGCCTCCTAATATAAAAACCTACATTCTACCATTTTGGGACTAAGGACCCTTTGGGTCAGCATGAAAGCGGGAAGCCAAGAAAACAAGGAATTACCATGGAGCCTATGGGTAGCTCTTTCGGGACCAAATGACCCTTATAAGTAGGGGCCCGATACCCTTATACTATGAACCCCTCTGTATATATGAAGCTTAAACCTTAAACCCTTTTGGGGTTCATTTCGTCATTAAGGTTCTGCAATTTCGGATCGATTTCTCTGAAGTCCGGACAGACGGGTTTATGGTTTCACGTCACCTGTGACACCGCTAGCGGACAGAGGTTCGGGCTCGCAGCAGGTGTTCCTGAGTCCTGGGTGCCTAAATAGCAGACTGTAATCAGGGTTTCCATATTAGGAGCCACAATTATGATTTGGGAAAGTATCCCCCCATAACGGTACCTAATGCCCTTTGAGTGGATATTAAATTCTGCCCAAGGGCTGCGAGAAGGACGTGTCCGTTCGAGAAGCCTGCATGAGCTACACGAACACGGAAGCTCGACAGCGGCGGCTAGGACTAAATCCGCAACCCAACGCCCTAAACCCCTAAGCCGCCCTAAACCTTAACCCTTGAACGCGCAGTGTACGGGCTTGATCAACAGAGCAGAATTTGGGTGTCTGTTCGAATAATACACTGAAAATAAGCCTTACCCTCAAAGGACCCATATGTTAAGGCTTTTGGGGCTGTGTTGATGCTAACCCTTAGCATCAAAGTAGCCCAAAAGCCTTCTATAGTAGGGTCTTTGGGCCCAAAAGCTTTAAAATATGAGTCCTTCGATGGTAAGGGTAAGGGTAAGGAAGCCTGAGGAATCTTAAGGCTGCCATTCCAAACTCTGCAGGCTTCTCTTTTTTGCCCTGATATGCGCACCTTCATGAGTCCGGAGCAATTTTAAGTTCTAAATGAGGGATCCGGTTCAGGGTTGGGGAAGCAGGGGTTTATATAACGGCTTAGGGTTTAGGGTTTAGCGTTTTGTAATGCATACGCTGCACCAGTTCACCTGCAACGAGGAGCAATCAAGTTTGAGTTGGTCCGGAACGGTGGGACCTTTCTGGTAGTAACTACCACGATCTTCGCACAATTTCTGAGACATATTCTGCTAGGGAGCGTTGAAAGCTGCTCTTGCCAGCATGTTGACGGTGCCGCTGATCTACACCCCATTGCCATTGGCCCAACTTGCCCCAACATTCGAAATGGAGGACACGAATCCTGAAGTCGCAACATGCAGCGTGACAAGCATCACTCAGCAAACCCGAGTTCGGGCAAAATGTTTTGGTGTGATCAAAGCTTCGTTGTTTGCTTGCTGACAACCCGGTGCAAGAGTGTCCCCAGCAGTACCTGGAGCTGCCATGTTAGATGCGAGCGTGGTCGTTAAGTCCTGCGCAGAGTCAAAGATAACGGCTCCGGGCCTTTATCACTGTTCTCTGGACGCAGGGAAGGTGATGCAGTTGGATACTGCTCATTATTGAGTTCTACTACTGTCATTTCTACTACTGTACTATGTTGTTGGTATTGCTACTGTTGCGAATATTGCTGTATGCGCAGTCTTATCATAATGCCTATTATTCACATTGTCAGTTCTACTATAGGGTTCATTCCAGACAGGAGGACGCCCGGACGGGTAGTCGCTAACATCTCTCCACTTAGAACGGCAGGAGGTCCTGTTCGGAGCCGGATTCATCTCAACAGGGTTTTGGAGGGTGACGCGGTGGGGGGGGAGGGGGGGGGGGG